TCGTGCACCCATCAGCCGTGACTAGCGCTGGAACCCCCCGCTTCACATTTCGAAGGCCGTTAACGTGCCTCTACCAAAGTTTGCGGTTCATGCAGGATCGTTTCATTAATTCCTGTTGTTACGTGACCCTTTCTTTGTATATCAGTTTCACATAAAAGTTACGATGTGTCACGTATGCAGTCCAGGTTTCGGCATTCAAGCAGTCCTGGTTATCTCGTCATACCAAATCCCTCCGGGACATACATTTACGTGTTCTGCTCCTCAGAAATGACTTATGCTTGCTTTTGGGTTGGAAGGACTTCTGTTCCGATGCGTGCGCTACCAATGTGCTAAACGTCCTTGTAAAGGTTGCCCAGGCAACATCCGGGGGTCATTCGGTTAAGAAAGTCCATTATGTATCCTTAACAAGAGTAGATAACTCATTCTAGTGCGTGACATTATGCACTTTATCCTCTTCCTTTTCAGGGTACTCCGCATAACAAATGTACTCAAAGAGTAGAGTAACATGATCACTACGACCCAGTGGTGTGCTTGTAACTATTCCGTCAACCGTGAGTTCTTGGTTAGTGAGCACAAAATCCAGTATAGATAGGTTGTTAGCGGTTCGAAATCTGGTTTGAGAGGTTACGTGGTTGTACAGAGGGTGACTAGCAATTAGCTCTTGCAAACAGGCTTTAAACTGCGTACCGTCGGTTGCTGGCGTTTCTATGTCGTGCATGTTAAAGTCTCCAGCGATAAGAATGTGGCTGTAGGACTTGTTCAAAGCAAACTGAAAGACGTGCTTCAGTTTGGAGTCCATTTCCGACGTTGCGTTTGGTGGGCGGTAAATCACGGCTAGTAGACATGTGTCCTTGTTTCGCAACCATAGACGGCACCAAAGCGAATCGAGAGCTCGGATTTCCGGGTGATCGATAACTTCACATCGGAGGTTTGTATTATAACAAAGAATCACACCACCACCCCTTCCGGTTCTATCCCTCCGAAGCAGCGACATACCGGGTAAATTGATCTAAGAATCGGTTATCTCAGGGTTTAACCAGGTCTGTGTAATGATGAGGAGGTCCCGCGGTTGTGAGGCATGGAGTACTCTAAGTTCGGCCAACTAACTTAGAAGGCCTTGGGCGTTTGTGTACATGCAAGATAGGGTTTTGTTGTTAGGAGTGCGTTGATAGATGTCAACTTTGTGTTAGTTTTAAACCCGGCCTTTAGGTGGCAGGCCATTAAGCGTATTTTGGTTTATGAATTTTAGTCAATTTGCATGCCACTATTTAGTGTTCCTGAACAGACGTTTCACTCGTGCTGTGCTCTGTTCTGTTGTGTGCCGTGGATGTTGTTGTGTCCGTCTCTCCACAGAACTGTACAGATAAGGAATTTGCAGTGTTTGTATGTTCCATCGAATTGCTTACGATTCGTGGCCGTTCGCCTGCTGCCTTTAGCCGGATCTCTGTTTGCAACCTAGCTCGAAACTTTAACCAGTTATCTAACAGAAGTTGTGTCATTCCCTCGGAGGGTAATATTACTTCCATTAGTGTTGGACCGCAGCCATTGTAGTTAGGTGATGACAGAACTCTGGTCAAGGATTTGGCAATAACATTCTCAACAGAGAGTGCTCCGCTGGATGTAGTACCCTGCTGTTGGTGATGCGGATGCGCATCGTGCTCAGCAAATTGCGGAATCTCGGGAACACCATGAACAAATATTGTTTTCTTGCTATCGCTATTAGGAATGCCGCGTTGGTCACCTGTTACTTTTGGGCGATCTCCCCAAAGTAGATCGGGTAATATGCGCAGTCCGCTCGGTGAGTTGCGAAGACAAACTGCCGAGAACAGGACAGCCTCTGTCTCATCTGCTGAGTCTAGTGTTACTCGAATAATTCGAAGTTCATCAGATGGCACTGAGGTCGGGTGACGCGCTACGCGTTGTAGCATTGCAGGCTCAATCCGAATACCCATTCGCCTCGCAGGTGGATCTCCCCTGGTTGCGATCGTCTTGCAACTTGCCTTTTATTGTGCCAGATTTGGATTATGGAACATTGGTGCACACGAGATTCAACGCGACGTGGTTTTGTCTAGCGAGTGTCGAGTTTGTAGTTTTTGTCGGCAATTTGGGCTGATAAGAAGACACCACTGGATTTGACGGTGAAAGCTGCGTTGCTCCACGTGTGCTCAGTACTGTAGATGGACCTACGTGTGTCGCTCCCGATGTGTTTGTCGAGGCAATCAATGCGTACGTTACCTGCTTGTTATATGCACCGGATTGCCTTCGGCTCTGCGCTGCCGGTGTCAAGCCTGAATCCCCAAATGAAGCGTCTATGGTTGGAGAAGTGGAAGCAAGCATGTTTGAGACTTGTCCACTTATGGGAGTGAGGTGATGCAGTGGATTTAGCAACACAGACGCTGCAGTGTGCATGGAGCGTTTAGCTCTCTTCTTCGGCTTAGATTTAGAGCTTACTTTGGTTGGTTGAGATATTAGCGTAGCTATATTTGCCTTCGTGGGATTGATCTTAGTAGTTACTAAATGCGCGATTATCCCAGGCAGCCTATTGCACTTTTCATGAGCAAAGATAAACAGTTGATAACTGGAATGACTTGACATATTGGACAAAACCAACTTGCGTCAGCAACTTTGTTTGTCTGTCACACTGCTTGGACGGATTTACCTGCACATTGCGGACAGTATGAGCGAATGCAGCTAGAACAGGTTACTACGATCTTAAGGACTTTACTGCAATTGTCTGCGCAACATGCGCGACGTTGAATTATTGATATGCTAGTCGTCTTCTTATCGTTTGCAGCAAGGCGTATCTGAGCGCTCACCAGGATGAGTATTATTTGCGCCAGGCGTGACGCACAGACAAGTCAATACACGTCCAGGAATTAAGAGTTGTTCAACTGCACCAAGGTCAGGCGGTTGAGGCAGATGGAAGTCGTTAAGCGTAGACTGTCGGGTGCAGCGATCAATTGACTCGCAGTTGAATACACCCAACCACACAAGGCGGCAATGTGGGCTGATCGGTCTGTCTTATGCGACGATGCAGGTGGAGCGCTGATAAGCGTCCCTAGAGCTTTTCATTGGATGAGCGAAGTCAAATGACTGTAACTTCGTTATGCTGTAACTTGCAGTGGTGTTTGCTGCATAGTTTGGGAGCTCTCAGCTTCTTCCGAATAAGACCAAAAGCTTTCCCGGAAAACTTCAGTTTGATGTAGTTATGCACGTGAAACTCGGCAAAGAATATGCCGAAAACTGGGAACTGGAGCAATTGTAATCCACACAGGTTAGATCCAAGAGTTGGGAATCACTGAGTAGAGCTCATCGAACTGGTTCAGACGAGGGCACAAACAATATTGTGTGGAGAGAATTAAAGTGGCCACAGAGTGCAAAACGAGAAGAAATCTAAAGTGCCGTCGCAATAGCGGTGGTACTTTGGCTTTGAATGCGCGTTGTTTACGTTTGCAGATATTATGCTCCCTTTCCTTCCCGTGTCGATGGAGAAAGTGATGCAAAAACGTCGACCTTTAACTTAAAACAAATGTTCTGATTTGCCATTGCTGGATGCGTTGGTCTTGCTAGTATGCAGTCTATTCGGTGTTCCGTTGGTGGCTGAGTCGTGCGTAAAGCACGAAGCCCTGCAACGGCTAGCTTTTTCGCCATATTGTCAGTGGAATGGTTCGGCACCGTCAGACTGAGAATCTTTCAGGTAAATATTACGCACTTTTGTCGAACGAGACCTACTTGGCTAAGGCATAGAGTAGCTGCAAAGAACGGTAGCCAAAAATCTTCAGCTTGTCACCTTGGAGTACCTGTTACGAAACTCGCATTGCTGCTAGCCTACTGCGAAATAGCTCCACTCCTTCGTCTCGTTGGTTAATTCGGTTTGATGACTCGGAGCAAGTGCTACACTCCTTTTCAGCGCTGCGAATATGTTACCGAAGATACTGGTTGGCTGTTGCTGCCGCTACAGACGTTCGAACACAGCATCTGCTTTGGGGGCTAGTTATTTCAGGAGCATATCTAGAACCGTGGACAGTACAACCAGCAACGGCTCTGGGATATTTGCAAACCAAAGTTCCTTTAGCCAGTCTACGCTCAAAAATAAGGGACCCACAAAGCGATGAATTTCACGAAGAAACCTCAACCGCCTAACATTACCTAGCTTAGGACCATTGAGCTGCTCCAGTGGAGTCTGTGCGCTGGATTATGACTCCTTTAAAAGCGCCTGCTTCATCGTTACCCATGTAGGCTAATTCCTGTGATCGCAAGTAACTCGTCATGTGCCGTTAAACCAGGCTCTTACTTACTGTCTCCTGACTAGAAGACAAGCTTAGCTTAGCCCACTCAGTAGCGCGGCTTCTAGGACTTGATTTGATCTCAAACCAGGGTGGCAGCCGTCCACTGAGCTGCCACGGCCCCGATCCACCAACTTCAAGAAGCTATGTGTGCTGTTGGGTATACTATCTTTTATGCTTTCGACACACAGAGCGCAGCAGATGTGTTAGACAGTATTCATTCAAACAGAGACTGTTCTCTTGAGCAAACTACCGGCAAATAGCAAATGAACTTTTCTACGGAACTCTGCCCCGACTATATAATAGGCCAGAAACTTGCTTAGTATTTGCTACTTTGCCGTGATGTAGTTATTCTGACGTCATACAGACAATTTGACTTCGTTCATTTGCGGTTTCGAGCGACAATCAGTATGACCAAACAAGCAATGCGCCCCCGTGTTAGGAGAGAGAAGCACCGACCCCCTCTACTTCGGATGCAGTCCCGGGGATCGAAACCGTAGAGCATTGCTTCAGAATAACCTATGGCTCCAACTGTGATAGCGTAGAGTAATCCCGAAACACGGCGGGTGTTTCAAGATCAAACAATGAGTTCAATTTTTACAAGTTTATTATATTATGAGAAGTGTCGTTGAATTTCTTTGTTACGGCGAAAGTTGTGGATAGATTGAGCCGTTTATTATAACAAAAGGTATCGATCTTATTCTTCACCTCCAGGCCATGTTCGGGTTCTCTACATCGGGTTACTTGCGAACGTCGTTCGATTCCTCTATGTGTCTTGGATAACGAACCCATGGTGGATCTTGCCGTTTGAGTTTTTGCAAGGTAAGTAATGTAACGTTAAAAGCTTCAACTGATTCCCTATAATCTTTCTTTAAAAATAGCACAGAAAAACCTTGCTTAGTTTGTAATTCTAGCGGCTTTTGTCCACAACGACCTATGTTATCCGCAGATCAAAAATCAGGCACACTACTGTGTACAAAATGAAACCGAAATTTTGAAACAGCGCACTAAAAGGCAGCTGGAGCGCGCTCTGGCTACTATTTGTTCGTGGAGGTACGCCTAGACAAAATATACTATTCAAATGAGAGTTCGTCACAGCAGCTTTCGAATCAACTAGTCATGCATATGCAGGGAAAATCACCATACTACAATTGCAACCCGTTGTGCATCATCAGTATTGTGTATCCACCGAATCCATTAGGATTCGAACCCATGACTACCAGTGAATTGCACCTCCATCCAGCCGCTTATGACAGTGCGCCACGGGGACAGCGGCGCATAGTCCTGATTTGTAAGCTAACTGCGATATAGCGTATCTTATCCTCCATTGCCATGCAAGTTATAAATATTGCAGGCGACAGGGTTGGCCTTGAAAGACACGACGTCCAATGTGAGTAGCTATGTACGACATTGCATTTAGAAACTGCCAGTGTGGATGTTTTGCTGCTCATTAATAGGGGATTTTTGATGTATTTACTTGGGAGCTCGTTGCGGAAATTTGCAAATCAGCTTGTTTCCCAAATGCCTGGATGGCTGATGAATCCGATGGATGTGCATCACTGTGGATGCCTAACAGGTTGAAACTGCACTCTAAGGCCTTACCCGGCATGCGGGTGACCATCTTATTTGAGAGTGGCTGCAATGAACTCTCAATTTCTTACATTAAAAACCCCTTACTCATGAGTTTCTCAAACGTAGATTTGTCGCGTTTCACTCAGACTGATAGTTGGCGATCAGCAACCACTGTTGTTGGCACGTGCGCAAGTTGCTCTTGGGATTAGTGTCATTGTAACAGTGAAAGAGCTAGAAGGACAATGTGCTTGAATTTCTGCTAAAACTTGGCAACATCCTTACAGACATTTCAGTTACGTATCCGCGCATCCGTGGTGACCTCTGAGTGTCGACCGCAAGCCTAAATGTGGCTTTGTCGTTTTGTACACGGCAGATTTTCGGTCGGCGACGATCCCAAGATTGGAGGACCTTCCACATCAACAGACAATGAAAACGTTGCGAGAGTTCGTGCTGTGAACCGTGGAAATCGTCGTTAAAATTTTCTAGAAACTGTTGACGAGATGGCCATCAGCGTTGGATTGCGCTATCAACTTTTAAGTGACAACCCTGGGATACGTCACCTCAGCGCAAAATCCGTGCTACTTTGGTTGACTGAAGATTAGCAACTGCACAGTGTTGAAATCAGCCAGGAACCACTAACCACTGTCATTGCCAATATAAACTTCCTTAAGGACATCATAAAAGGAGATGAGACATAGGTTTCTGGCCTTGGTATTGAAACGAAGGTTCAATCATTGCAGATGATGTGAAAAGGATCTCCTCGTCCAAAAATACACGCATGGGTCTGTCAAGGAGCAAAGCGAATTTGGTTGTTTTAACTCAAAAGGTACTGTCCAGCAGAAATGCGTACCACGTGGTCAGGCGGTAGACAAAATATGTACTAAGGGCTTTCTTTCGCTTTTGGGAGATGTTGTGCGCAGAAAGAGGCCTTAACTGGAGGGAAACAGACTTGGATGTTACATAATGATAATAAGCTGGCTAATGCATCGCTAACTGTCCTCAGTTATCATGCAAAACATCGAACTCCCGTTGTGCTCCATCCACTGTATCCTGGGGACCTAGTTCCAGCAGACGTTCTCCTGTTTCCGGAACTTAGAACAATGCTGAAAGGACGTCGTTTCCAAAGCGTAGATAAAAATCTGGACAATGCAGCAAAAGCCTTGCACACCAGCCCTAAAACTGCGTTCTAGGAGGCTGTCCAAAATGGAAGCACGGTTGGAAACGGTATATTGCTAGTAAAAGGGAATACTTTAAGTGGGTCTGAACTTAACGGTCCACAATGAGCAATTAAGATGTCACGGCAAAAGTTGGGTTTCTTTTTGTGCACTCCTCGTACACCAGATGTTATCTATGTGTTGACTGTAATCTTTCAACTAAATTGACAAAAATCCGAACGGTAAGCTAAGCATTCAATTCCAAGGATTAAGATAAATGCTGCAGCACTGGTAATTCACCGGTTGTGTTTGTGGTCATACAGAATGATACTCACTTCCCACATCTCTGCGCCTAGTAACCTTCGGTTTGAGTGACCGAAACCAAGTTTCTAAGGAAATGGCGCCAAATTGTTATCCCTTCTGCCTAAACAGGTAAGTAGAACTCATCATAAAGCACTTGCTCCAATGTTTAGACAAACTGAGCCGTTCAAATCCCTTTCACTGTGCCGTCGATTCAATCGCAACATTAGCATGTTCCCAACGGGATTACCTTTCAATTAACGCCTGTTTTTGCAGTTGTTATGGTATTTCAGGCCACAACCGACATAGACTGAAAAAATCCAAAACTCTCATCTGCACCGGTAGGAACCTACGTGGCAATGGGAGATAAGTCATGCTATATTCCAGTTAGCTTTCAAATTATATAGGTTAACTACCACCACCGTGGCTCACTGGATAGGCTGCTGGCTAGTTGGTATCAGCCTCTAGCGGTATTGGGTTCGATACCCAGTAGGGGACCGTAGGATGCGCGGGAAACGAGCGTCTGGCGCCTTTCAGGATGCGGATTGTGCTATGTAGCTTGTGAGTTGTTGGGGCGAATAGGTAAAAGGTTAAATTTGCGATGCGCCCCCTAGCGTCCCACTGTAGCTCAATTCCCCATTTTCTTTAATCGTGCACGTTTCTAGTCATCCTCCTTATAGGCACAAATAATACACTGGAAATTTGAACGGACTATCCACCGCCATGCGACCATTATAACTAGTGCAGTAAGAAGAGTTAGAGAGAGAGAAAGGAGACAATGTCAAACATGCCTGCGCTGGACAAATATCCAGACATTTACACTTAATAAGCAGCACACGGCATCGTACGAAAGTGAGGCATCATTCATGAGATGGCAGCTGCGGCTTTCATTGTGCTACACTTGAATAATGTACTCCTGCACCAGGAGCGAGTAGCGTAACAGAAAAGGGAAATGTGAATTCCTGCATGAAGTTCAATACATCTGCTTCTTCACACAGCCTCAGCCAGAAGACCCTCAAGCGTTTCTTTGGTAGCTCATGCCCGCCATTCGCCTGCGTGATACTGAGCATTCCCACCGTCATCTTCCCGCGTGTTGTGTGGTAAGATATTTGCCGTCATTTGTTTGTCTTTTTTAGTCACACATATTTGGCTTCTAGGTGTTCATCTTGTGTTAGGCTGTTGGTGTGGTCCCCGCTGCCCGTTCCCTTTTAACATAACTGTTTCTGCCGAACGGCTTATTTCTGGCGCAATAGTGTTTCTCCCAAGCACACCGCAGCTATGTTGCGTCAAAATCAACAAAAGATGACACAACATCTAACTTACCTTCAAAGTCGACTGTGAGCGCAAATGAGCAGGTAGCACCACAAGAGAACAACTTACAGTAAAGCTTCGAGCCAAGCGCAAGTTGGGTCACGTGGCCTCCAGCATGGAGGGTCAGACGAATCAACATCACCCAGTTTGGTAGCTAGTAACATTATTCTCGGCGCCAAGTCAACTTATGCTTCACTTGCGCCTCTTGCCGTCCAACTTCCGGCGCACGAAACATTTCCCCCCTCGGCAAGCAGTTAGTAGGCATACCTCGCACCTGCCCAAGCCAACGGGACATAGGTAATGCTTTTTCTTCATAAGAGTTCACCTGATTATTAGCGAATGGTACTTAACTGCGCATGCCACCGGTGCGGATGAGCTAGGAACAGCAATTCCTCGTAGGAAACGACAATTAAAACTGAAGCTACCTCAGCCACTCAGACCAAAAGAGCAGGGTCTCTTTCGCATAAGGGAGAACTGCCCTCACCCTGACTATATATACGTGCTATTTCAGACTGAGGCAAATGCTATAGATATTGCCGCAAATATTACAGCTTCAAGGATGTATTTCTAGCTTTGCCAATACATGATCTGAAAACCTTTCTTTTGCCAGCCAGCTGGCAACAAATCGAGAAATTTGGGCAATATCATTATAGAATACGTAAACAACTGTTCAAATGAAGAATTCAATAGATCACACGGAAACGGTCACCAACATTGTTGGAGTGTACGTGTTCTCTGAACACTGCAGCGAGGAGGCACTGCGCATATGCCAATCATACACCTTGAGGGTATAGCGAATTTGGAGGCACATAGACGCGAAGTGTCGAAGTTTGAGAGAACCACAGACGTGCCATTTCTTGAAAAAGCAGTGTAAAACACTAGCAGTCTTTTAAAATCACTTGATGATAACTGTAAATTGTGCTGACACAAGCTTGGTACTTGTCTCGGTATGTGGACCAATATCATTTTTTAATAGTCCAGTAGTGTAGGGGGATAAGATGCAATAGGTTTACAGAATCCACGTGATGGCAACTGCATGTCGAATCAACATCTTTCCGTGTGGGTCATGAAATATCATTAGCAAATACATCGCTCGTGTCTATTTTACGTTTACTAGTTCGTTTCATCCTATCGGCACTACCACTAGCGACATCGAGGCATATTCTGCAGTGTTCATGACGGCAAACAACTTCAGCCTTAGGGAGTCAAACATATTCATGCTACATTCTGGTGCAATCTGAATACCTCCTCCGCAAATTACAGCTACAAGTTGATTCGCGATGCCACTCTGTTTTCTACTATGAATATTTTGCGTATTTGCAAGCACCTTAAGATTATATGAGTGACTTTACTTTCAGTTGCGAGCACTTAACAAGTAAGAAGGTTGCCTTCATTGTATTAATGTATTGGTCTCAAGCGAATCCCTCGCAAGAATTACCAATGGGAACTCTGAGCCGGTAGCGTAGTCCAACAACGAACCGGTGT